TCTGGGCCTGGGCGCTGTCCCTCAGCTCTTCAGCTCAAGGCGAGCGCTCTACCACTTGAGCCACAGTGCCACTTCCGGTTTTCTAGTGGTTTATTGGAGATAGGAGTCTCACGGTCTTTCCTGCCCGGGCTGGCTTTGAACAGCGATTCTCAGATCTCAGCCTCCTGAGTAGCTAGGATTACAGGCGTGAGCCACCAGCGCCCGGCTAGAGTGCTAGCTTTGGATGAAAATGCTAAGTAATACGTTGAGGCCCTGAGCTAATAAAACCTAGTCCTAGCACAAAAACAAAAAGGTTAGTTTGAAGACTGAGATGTCTAAAACTTGTAGTTTACTAAGACTTAAAATTTTTCAAAGACCCTATGGGGTTGGGAAGTAATTCAGTGGAAGGGCATACATTGGTCTTGGGTCTCCACACACACACACGCACACACACACACACACTGACATATAAACCAGGTGTGATGGTCTGATCCCAGCACTCAGGAGGTTGAGGCAAGAGGATGGGAACTCTGTGTGTGTGTGTGCGTGTGTGTGTGCGTGTGTGCGTGTGTGTGTGTGTGTGTGCGTGTGTGTGTGCGTGTGTGCGTGTGTGTGTGTGTGTGTGCGTGTGTGTGTGTGTGTGTGAACTGTCTGAGTGTCGGTCCTCAGACTTGAACTCAGGGACTAGGGTCTGTCCTTTAGCTTTTATTGCTCAAGACTAGGGCTCTACCACTTTGAGCCACATCTCCACCTCCAGCTTTTTTGGTGGTTAATTTGAGATAGGAGAGTCACTTGGCCTTTCCTGCCCAGGCTGGCTTTGAACCTTGATCTTCAGATCTCAGCCTCCTGAATAGCCAGGACTATAGGTGTAAGCCACCGGCGCTCAGCTAGGACAGGAAATTTGAGGCCAGCGTAGGCCACATAGGGAGCGCTAGGCTAGCCTTGGCTGTGTAGTGAGACCTTATCTCTGAAGAAAGAACAGATCTGGAGGGTTAAGGTGTGTGACTTCTCCAGGTGTGCATCCTTTATGAGGAGCAGTGTGACCCAAAAATCACAAATCTCAGGATGCTGACTGCAGGGCCGCAAGCCACGCAGGGCTGCTTTGAGCTCAAGCTCCAGGCACCACTATTGCCTAGGAAACCAGCCCTGCCTGAGCGGTGGGATGGTCCCAGCCCGAAGCTGCGAGAAGACAGTTTCTCTGGCTGTCCCCCCTCCCCCGGCTCTTCCAGGGCCCAGGCCGAGGCCAGGCTCCCTCCACACCTGCGCCGCACCCACCTGTATGCCGTGGCTGCTGACAGAGGTGGGTTGCAGAGACCCCGGAAGTTGGGGTCCCACAGACAGGTCCCATTGTCGCCCACCCTGACCAGATAGGCACTGAGGATCCCTGAGGCCTGGGTCACATCCCCGATGGCATCCAGCCTGGGCAGGTCACTGCACGGGGTCAGGTCAAAGGCCGCAGCTTTGTAGGGGCCTGTCCTCCCGCCCCGCGTCTGCCGGAACGTGGCGCTCAGAGGCACGTGGGTGTCGTCCTGCACAGAGGCGTTGCCGGAGCTGGCTGCGGAGGCACAGCAGGGGCTGAGGATCCTGGGCGCTCACGCAGTCGCTCAGCAAACACCCCCCAGCCCTCCCCTCCGCCTCCCCCTGTTCTAGCCTCTGGAGCTATGTATGCCTGGTCTCTTCCTTACTAGTGGGGTGCTACCAGGCAACTCATCCTACTACTTTTCTGTGAAATGACAGAAAAAGCGACAGATTTGGGCGCAGGTAGGCAATCGTCTGCTGAAAGAATAAAGGATTGGAAGTGGGCAGAAGAGGGTGCCCTTGGGTTCCTTCCCTTGGAACCCCCACTTCCTCCAAGTGAAGGGCTGAGGGACCAGAGAGGGCAGGTCCCCATGCTTGGCTTCACCTCAGCCAATCCTGAACCATCTTGGAAGCTTCTGGAAGGACTTGAGCCTGAGGACTCTAGAGCCCTGGATTTGTTCTCCAGCTCTGGGAGCACTGGAGAATTCCTCCACAGGCCCGCCCTCACACCGCAGCTTGCATTCTTACTCTGCGCTTCCTGCTGGGTGCCCAGCCCCTGGCCCCGGGAGTACTCAGCGCTTGGCAATTGCCAGTTACTTGCCACTCTAGCCTGGATGCCAGGCCCGGTGTCTGGAACCCCAGCACCCCCTTCACACACACACACATGCACACACACACGCGCGCACACACACATGCACACACACACACACACACACACCGTTGGCAGAGATCAGCTCACTATAGGGTGAGAGCACACCCCTCCCTGCCTCCTGCCTCCTCTCAGTGGACACAGACCATTCCAGAAGAAAGCATGCCTACCTGAGTCGGCCATGGCGTAGAGGTAGACCTCATACTCCCCGGTGAGGGGCTCCAAGCTGTCAAACACACACAGAGGCTTCTCCAAGGCCACGGTGGTGAGGGTAGGGTTGTTGGTGGCGAAGGTCACACTGGCCAGTTGAGGCTGGAGGTTCACAGCTGAGGGGAGACGGGAGGGGAGCTGACCCAGGGCACCCCGATACACGCACGTTGTCACGCACACGCGCACCCCACACATGCACATCGTTAGACACAGGCCTTCTTCTCGCCACCCCATTCCCGCCAGAGGAAGCTCATAAAAGTTGGCTATTGCTGGTGTGACAGCATCTGAGCCGGATGCAGGGCTCACGCCGGCCATCCCGGCGACTCAGGAGGCTGAGAGCTGAGGATCGCGGGCCAGAGCCGGGGGATCTCCAACGAACCGCCCCAAAAGTCACAAGTGGCGCTGTGGCTCAAATGGTAGAGCACCAGCCTTGAGCCAAGGAGCTCGGGGGCAGCGCCCAGGCCTTGAGTTCAAGCCCCAGGCCCGGCAAGGGCATGAAAAGTAATCATAATCACAGCAACAGCAGCCTGCGGGCCGCAGCCCCAGGGTCGGTGCGGGGTGGCCAGCGGTGCCCGGGCCGGTCCGGCCCCGCCGAGGCCTCCCGGGGGTCCCGCTCCAGGCGGCTCGGCCTGGGCGCCCTGGCCTCCGCCCCCTCTTACTGGAACTACACCGCAGGCAGCAGAGCGCCAGCAGGGCCCAGAGCAGCGGCATCTCCCGGGACCATCCGCGGGAGCGCGGTCTGGCCCGGCCGGCGAGCCAGCTCCCGGCACCTGCCCACCCGGGGCTCTCGG